ATCATTCTCTAATCATATGTCCCTACACACAAACCCCAGTTTTCCATAAATAAACTGTGAACCGCAAAGCCGTCACCCACTTGGGAGTAGATTAATTATAACCTGCTCTTTAAAAGTGACCAGCTTTGAACACCAACAGGGTCGTGTTATGTTACTATATTACATGCCATCCCAGTTTTTAGCTTTTTCATTTCAAAACTAACAAATAAAACAAGTAGGAAGCCAGTTACTTTGCTACTTGGCCATATTTAAGATACTTTGCATCATCAGTTTAAAAGTTAACGGGTTTCTTTTCTAACAGCTCCTCAGTTTGCACTGCTACAATACACCATTAACAGCCAAATGCCAAAACAAAGTATGAAACTATCCCTTAGAGAAGTTTTCTGGTTTGGTTGTTTTGGGGTTGGTTTTTTATTGTTGTTTTGTTTTGCCTCTCCTAAGTGAGTGCGTTTATTCCAAAAAAGAAGAAAAAGGACATTTTAAACATTCATACTGTTCACATGCAAGTAGAAAACTGCATAAGGCATACCCTGTAAAAGAACTAACAAGATACCCCCCCCAAAACGGCTGATTCCAAATTAAATATTACAACAAACAGCAAAGCAAATCTTGGGATTTAACTTTTTTTCTCCCCGCCCCGCCACCCCCCAAATTGATGGTTTCTTCAAACCATCCCACAGCACATACTTGTATCAGAGACCCACAGAGAACATGGAGAACCACCAGAACACACCAGCAAGTTCACAGTCTGTACCTTTTAAAGAAGGAGAAATAATGCCATGAGGTCAAGCACCTCTAATCTGATGCCTTTAAACTTCCAGTTTCGGGAAGTCAATTTGTCATTAAAAACAGAGATATACTATATAGAAAGTAATTAAAGCACAGTTAGCCATTATGCAAAGAGTGGTGGTACTACCATGCCAACCACAGAACTGATTTTGCCCATCAACTGAATGAAATTGTATCTACAGAAAAGTGCCCAAGGAGATCTTTTTGCATGTTTTACCCAACTGCTCATCGAGAAACAAAAAGAGATTAATTACATGTTTGAGCACTGACAGTTGTGTATCGAGCACCTTGATGAAATACTTTCATACACCATTAAAAATCCAGAAACTTCAGTTCTCTTGCTGTAGAGCAGGATGTTTAGCAACCTGGCATTCTCCACCATTAAGCGCAGAGAGCAATGGCAAGGCAAAATGTATTTAAATATACTGGAATGAAGCAACTGCAAAGCTCTTCACCCATCACAAATGGCTATTTGCAAAGTATTTTGCAAAGCTGGTAAACTTGTACATTTTAATGTAGACAATGTGGCCATTTTACTTAGTGCACAATGGAGCAGACAGTTTCCAAGCAAACAGCATCAACACCAGACTGACAACAGACACCTGTATCTGAAAATAAAGAAAGAATATTGTTTCCCTGGTGGTAGAACTTAACCTTTAGTCCACCAACATCCAGAGCCATAGAAACCACCACACAGCCATGACTCACATGTAGACACAAAACCCCAGGTCCCTTTACCCGAATGCAAACCTAACTATACCTTAAATGTTGGTTCTCCACAGCCCCAAGGATTGTATCAAGTATGGTTATGTCTACGGAGAGACTTATTAACAAAAGAATAAAGAGCAAAGTGAAACAGGCAAGGAAGGTGCTCACAGGAAGCGTAGCAGCAGCCACACACACCGACAAACACCTCAAGTCTGTGAGGATGGCTCCTACACATGAACCACTTGCATCCCACAACCTCAGTGCCAGCTGCCAGCTGCTTCCACAACCACAAGAAAATTGTACTGAAGCTGCCCTTTGAAAGGTTTCTAATACCAAACTGCAGATCAACACGTGACCCTGCAAACTGGCAGAAATGAAGCTTTCTTCTGAAAAAAAAAAAAAAGCAGCAAGCATACTTACAGGTGCCTGCTCAATTATTAATTTCAAGAGAAGAACCCACAGTGGCAGATTAAGGAAGAAAATAATCTTACAGCTTTAAAATCAAGTCTCCTAATTGCACACTAGAAGCAGCAAAGAGACATGCCTATTGCCTTTGGACTAGGAGGCACAAAGGGGAATAGTCTGGGCCAAAGACATGAAAAAAAAAATCGAAGTCATTAGATGGAGAAGGGTTTTCAGGTTGCTGTAACAAGTTTTCTGAATATCTGATGCTCTTAGAAAAAAAATACACCAGGCATTATTTACTACACTCAATTTTACTCTGAAAAAAAAAAAAAAGCAGCAAGCATACTTACAGGTGCCTGCTCAATTATTAATTTCAAGAGAAGAACCCACAGTGGCAGATTAAGGAAGAAAATAATCTTACAGCTTTAAAATCAAGTCTCCTAATTGCACACTAGAAGCAGCAAAGAGACATGCCTATTGCCTTTGGACTAGGAGGCACAAAGGGGAATAGTCTGGGCCAAAGACATGAAAAAAAAAATCGAAGTCATTAGATGGAGAAGGGTTTTCAGGTTGCTGTAACAAGTTTTCTGAATATCTGATGCTCTTAGAAAAAAAATACACCAGGCATTATTTACTACACTCAATTTTACTCTTACTACAAGAGGAGATGGTACAAAAGCTTACAGCAATAACAGCCTTAGATGGGGAATATAAACTAATTTGAAAAAAAGTCTAATTTTTCCTATTAAGCATGCCTGGCATGGTTGTATGCCTGACAATTTAAAAACTGTCTACTGCAAGACTTCTCCTTCCACTGGAAAGTAACAAATTCAAATACTGAATGAGCCTACAACAGACTAAAAAAGGCATGAATTGTATAATGAGAGACTGATCCCTTATTACAAATTGTTTTCCCACATAAGCCCATGTCCTAGAGCCATAAATCTTAACTACAGTGCTGCTGCTGCAACTGGCTGCTTCACATTCTACACTTACTGTCAAATATTTTGTGGTACATCCTGACAGATTTTGCAATTTTGAGCTACTTAACCACTCAGCTCCTGTGAATACTCTACCACGGCAAATGGTGAGCAGTGAGAAAGTACAACACAGATTTCTTCTCGTCTGAAGTTTTAAAATAAATTCTTCATCTGAAATAAAATTAACTCAGCTCTAGCAAAATTCTGACCATCTGGAGCCTCGTTTATTACTTAGTAAGGAAGTAAAGAGTCAAGCAAGCAGGTCTCCAGGCATTTTCCTGCTCTGGAATTGCTTGGTAAGAAACCCTCTTTTTTCACTTTCTTTAATAAGTTATGAATCCATTTAAAACTTTATGGAAAGCTGAAGAAATGTCAAGGTAGAAGCCTTGGGCGCTATTTTGTAACCAATATTTCAGATGGCAAAGAATAATCCAAGAAACTTCAGCTTTAGGGAGATTCATACAGCAGAAAAAAAAAAGCAAACCGAAAAGGTACTCATATGCTTCAAAGAAATCAATGTGTGGTGACAAGCTGTGCTAACGTACCCAGAACCATCAGGTACCAGAGCTTCAGAAATCCCTAATGACTCACTTTTGGTTCTGAGCTTCTGCTGCTTACACATCAGGAAATCGAAAGAGCCAAGTAACAAGGATGAATTAGATGCAATCCTTAATAAAATTGAACACCGAAGGAAACATCATACTCCACAGAAATATCAGGAATTGGCTAAAACTGTAGGCTTCAGCTCTATTCTCTTCAGAGAAAGGGTCAGCACTGCCCAAACAGGTAGCTCAATCCCTACCTTCAGCATCCCACTGAATTTGGTCCCTCTAAATCAAGTCTTGTGCCACAAGAATCACTGAAAGGTAACTTCAGAATGAAAACTAGAGTTTCTTGTGAAAGCACACATTTCAGAAAGACTCACATCCGACAGGAACAAAACATTTATGACAGAAATTAAAAGTTTTAAAGTCTAAAAATCTGCCTGAAAATTCAACACAAACCAGATCAGATTAAATGTATCTGAAAATTCAGAGTAATACAATGCAGAAGCAATTGCGTGTTTATACAGTTCTAGAACTAACTTGACAAGAAAATAAATTATGCCTCAGACATTAAAAATCAATCTTGAGGGAGGTGGTAGTGGGAAGGGAGATGGACACAGAAACACTCAAATGTATGTTTCCACAGATTTCAAACTGCTTTGTAGCAAAACAGGCAAGAAAGACACTTATCTACAATTGCTCTGAGCTCTCAACTGCAGCTCAGCTGCAAGTGTGAAGTTGACCTTGGGCTGCCAAATCACAAACTAAGCTCCACAGCACGTGAAACTGAATCAGTCCCTTAAAAATGTCATCATGTAGTTGTTACGTATTTTTATTTGTCAGCAATGGAAAGAAAAAAGGAAAATAAGAGTATACACAAACTATATACATGAGTATTGGACCAGAAACAATTCCAACACAAGTTACAAGACGACTCAAAATTAAATTTTAAACATCACCAAGGAATTTCATGAAAAAGTAGCTTCCCAATCCTGCATTATAGGTTCAGTTGATTCAAGTGATGCCACCCCAGAGGAAAGGCAACGCGAGACCTCTTTCCCTCTTGGATGGCCAGCTCACCAGTAAGAGTTCTGTACAATAACCGATGTTGGGAACAAATCCATTTGACATCCACCCCCGTCAGAAAGTCCCATCATAAACCCTAACACAAGTTTAGCACAGTGCTAGCCACAAGTTTAGCACACTGCTAGCCCTTCAGCAGAGATGGCAAGTGTGAAACAGCCAGCAGGTGCCTCGTGCGAGGAAGAGCACTTGGTGAGCAGCTGAGAGCACTGATAGCACACCCACTTGGAAACATGCCCTGCCACTGACACCATCTGCAGACAGGGGGTATGAATTTCAAAGGACTGTCAATCTGACACCTCTCGGCAGTATTCAATTCAAAGGAAAAAAATTAATAAAGCAATTAATACTAGTTTGACAGTGTCAGAAATATTGCAAACACATCAATCCTACTGATACTACATTAAAAAAAAACCTCTGGATTTAAGAAATAAACAAGTTTACTGTGCCAAGATCTTTTAAGGCAACATAATACCGCAATTAAAGCACGTGAACTTTAAATTTTCTTATTTATTTTTAATTAGAAAACCACTTCAGTCACACAAATCTTCATTGCTTTAAATTGTCAACAGCTGAAGTCCTGATCCCGAGAACAGATTCATTGAAGTGGGATTACTCTCATACACTGTTACTTGTGCAAGTATTTGCAAGAGTCAGCCCTGAAGTTGCTACACAATTCATAACTATGTTCCTCATTTGTGAATAAACTCACCTTTGAACTCAGTAATACATTGTTCTGTCATTTGCCATCATATTCTCTTAAGTTCTGCAAAAACACATTTATATATATTAATCCATAGGCAGGTGAGTATGTCACAGGGAGAGGAGATGAAGAGCTATTGAAAAGCACACCACCTGTATGGCAACCGAGGAAACACACAAGGAAACTGAATACCACACAAATCAGACATGAATATCATCCTCAAGAGATAAATACTGACAATAAACATTTAGGCTGTTTTCTACAAAATTATTTGTATCAATCAAGACCACTTTGCACTCTGCAGCACTTAACACATAAGGATCTAGAAGTGCTTATTAAAAGTGTGTGGGTGGGAAAATGTCTTCTATGTCAACAAGGTCAAGATTTCATCCTAAACACGAAGTTTGGGTGGAGGTGAATAGGAGACTGCACTACACTGAAAAGTCACTCCTGTCCACTTTTTGGAGAAAGTGAACAGCCATTTCAAAGTAAATGTTACATGCCACTGAGGACGAAGAAAAATATGTTATCCTGTTGGAGAATCGTGTAATTCACATAGCTAAGAAGTAGCCTGAGTTTTCCAAGAACACTAAAATTAATATCCATACTCTTTAAGCACGTGTCAAGGGACCTGATTTAAGGACTGCCCAAGAGGTAGCACAAACTGCAGCAGGACAAAGACCTTCTCAGAACTATCCTAGGTCATCACAGTCAAGTACAGAAGCAAAGACTGTGCAAAGTTGTAAAATAAGCATTTCAGTATCTTCTAAATATTTCTCATCAAGTGGTGACTCTGAAAGTCCCCTTGTTAGCCTCAAAACAAAGCCTAGAAAAGCAGGGAGCACAAATATATATCTGATTTGGAGAGACTTCAGTATCTATTAATATTAAACTAGACAGGGGATTAATAGATTATGTTCAAGACACATACACCAGAAAAATGTACAGTGGACAAAAAAGTTAAACTATTTGTTACACTACAACATATAGAAGTTGTTTGTAAATTCTCAGGAAGAATCAGGGAGCAAACATCTCTTGCTCAGTTTGTTTCTGTCAATCATTAAACGCAACAGATAATGAAACATTTTCACTGAAAATGTCTTTTTTCCCTCCTATTTGTGTGTCCTGTAACTCAAGACAAGCAGGTTGCAATAACATTAGCAAGCCATACATCTGAAATCCATAAAAAAGAAATATACTTTTATATCATCAGAAAGTTTGGAATTAACAGTCCCGAGATATTAAAACAAATAGTTATAACAGACTCCAATGAAAGGTAGAAGTAACTGAAAAAAAGTTCAGTATCTGTAGTTAAACAAGTCATATTAAAAACCCATCCACTCTCATTTTTCAGGCATACCCAGTGAAAAACTCTTTTCTAATCAAAGGTCTGCTGCTGATTTTTTCCTAAAACAATTTTCAGACTAATACCCCTATGTAGAAACATGGCATGAGGACAATGAGTGAAGAACAATTTATGACATAACTGGGATCCCCACTAAAGCACAGGCTGCCGAGACAAGGTTGGTGAGGAGAAAAGTTACTTCTCCCTCATACGGACAGTGATGCCCACGAATAGACCTTGGGAAACGGAAAGAAAATGCATTCCTTGTGCCTTATCTTCCTGCTTTAACCTGTCTGTATGTGCTCAGGGTGCTTGGAAATAGATGTCCTGAAATGGCAGCCTGAAAGTCAGCCAGCTGTTTTTGTGAACAAAGAGTGAAATGGCTAATGTACCATAACATCCTCCACAGTATCTTCACCTCTCATTCATTGGCTTCCATGGTTTATATTCACTTAAGGAAAACAAGTTCAATATGCCCACATCCTTTCTTTTCTTTCTGTTCCCCCTCCCCGTCATGTACAAGGAGACAGCCAAAAAGAAGTACCAGGTCAGGATTTATTACTTCAAAATACGATTTCTAACAAAAGCTGAACTCTTATTCCTTGGAATGTTTTAGGTAATGTTCCAGGAAAAATTGACCACACGCAACTGGGAAAGCACTAGTTTCATCATAAATTTCTATTTTTAAAGCAAGCCTCCTCTGCAATTACTAGAAAACATAGACAACTTGAAATGAATTTAAAAAACAGTAAGAAGTTATGGGTGAGGGCAGAAGTTAAGTAACTAAATTTTAGTAGCTGTGACTTCCAACTGCTGTTTCAGTCAAACTATGACTCTGATTTCACCCCAGCAGCACAGCTGTATCACTTGAATAGCAATTTGCCTGCTCTGCAGCAGCGCAGAGAAGGAGGCCACACGCACCACAGCCTCGCCGCGCCACGTAAGGATCCCTTAGCCAGGGTCAAGAGTCCTGTTTGGGATCAGAAGAGGACAGCCCCATCAGCTCACTGTACCTCTTGCTACCTGCTGGCTCAGAAGGACACCACTTACCAGCTAACAAGTCAGGCAGCCATCAGCAGCTGTCCTGGCATCTCTGCCTCTCAACAGCACAGCAGCACTCTGTACCAGAGTGCACTAAAACAACCTGCTGCTCCAACATGACTGAGCTCCACAGCGTAGAGAAGCCCATGGAACCTCCAGCCCTGCAAACTCATGAGCTATTCACAAAGTCTTGAACCCACTGCAACAGGTAGGAGTAAGGGTTTGCAAGGTAAGGACTCCGACCCCCCAGAAACAGGGCTGTATGAAGCTTATTGCTCAAAGCACTCTGTAATCCTTTGATGAAACGTGCTATGTAAGTGCAAAGTACTATCCTTAAGTCAAAGTAAGTTATTTTTTTTTTCCTTAAATATCTAGGAATTTCTCAGCATTTCCCTGTTTACCTAACAGATCAGTTCTCTATAAAAATAAATATTGGGAGGACAAAAGAGGTAGTTTCCCCCCCCCAATTTTAGTAAACGAGTTTCATTTTTCCATGCTAAAATCTGCAATATCTTTCAAAAAAATATCAAAACACCTAAGAGAAACTGAGGGTACAGAGTTGCTTACAACTCATCCATGGCATTCCCGTGGCTAGGGTATCACCAGAACCTCTAAACCTCAGAATTTTTTTCTGAAACAAGTACCAGAAACAGTATTTGGCAAAGACTTGGTGAAGAACAGTTTCCCAATACTCAGCAGTAACCCTTACAATAAATTTAAGGGAAAAATACTTAGCTTTTTGATCTTTGATTTTTTTTCCATAAATTGGGTACCAGCTATGCTTTGTCCCTCCCATTTCTATGATATTTCCAGTTTCATGTATTTAGACCAAAGACACTTTCCAAAAGCTGGTGTACAACATCTTTATATACACTACAAATTCAGATTACCAGACTATAGTCAGACATTGAATATATAAATAACTTTGCAAACTATTTACAGGTCTTAAACTTATCAGGTTCCAAGCAACCAACAATCTTAAGGCAAATTCATTTCTATGACTGGCTGTCTGGTCTTTCAGCATTTCTCTCCCCTCCCCACCCCCCACCCTCCCCCCAGCCCCCAAAACAATAGGCAATAAACATGAAACTGAATAACCCCCTGCCCCTGTATTGACAGAATTTCTTGTATGGAGAAATGATCTAGCTACTTATCTTTCCTCAAAACAAGGAAAAGTGTATAGAAATGCATTTCTGTGTTTGCGTGTCAAGAAAATCATTAAGGTGCATACCAAGAAGTGGAAATCCCAAAGTATAATAACATAATTTTTGTATGCACTTGACAAATGGATTTGGGAATTTGGGGAAAGCATCAGTTTAAAGCTGCACAACCCTTTATAGTACTATGCATTTATAAGCTCATTAGATATAAAATCTGAAGAGCTCAAAGGGATTTTCTGTAAGAGGTGACACTGTGCAATCCAAAATGCAGCAGAGTGGATTTTCAAAGCATATGTTTAACTACATTAGAATTTCTCCTATACTATATTGCTGTGCAAGATACTATTCACCATTTAAAAGGGATTCTGCACATCTTGCCAACCCTTATATTGGAATAAAAATTGGCCATTTCAAATAGTATCTTTTTGTTACAACATTGTATTCTTAAGTGCAATCACAGTGCTATCCCTTTTGTCAATGCATGACTGAAGCAACCAAGCATATTCTGGTGAAGTAGACAGGATTCACATACCAAACGTGCTTAGTGCCTTCCTGTAAGTCCCAATCATCACTTTGTTCTTACTATTTTTCAATGCCCTGATTAGGTCTTTGTTTGGAAGTAATTAGCTATTGTGGTTTGAAGGATTTTGGAACAAAGCAGAGACTTTATACTGAATGCAGAGGTCATCTCCAACAGAGACAAAAGGTGGCAAGTTATCGATTAGCTTTATATTTAGAAGCATCCCTTGGTTCACTGCTAGGATTGCTCCAGTCATCTGCTTCAGGTGTGGTCTTGTAGTGTCGCCATGCTGACTTATTAAAAACAGGAAGTCTTTCAAATGATTCACTTGAAAGGGCCTACGGAAAAACAAAAGCAATGGTCAGATATTACTAGAGATACCAAGCACAAGATGATGTTCTGGGGAGTTCTACAATTACAACTTCTGTATCAAACAAGTGTCTCAATTATCCAAGTGTTATATGTCACAACACTATTTTGAAAACACCGTGGCTTTGACTAACTATTCGAGGCAAAGTATTAGTCGTAGTCAAAGTTAAAAGAAAATAATAACACTTTGAAATAGCAAGAAAGAAGTTTTGGTTAAAAAAAAAACATTTTAGGGAGATTTGTCATTGACACTGGGCTGACAGCTACTTTACTTAAAACATTTCACTTTTCCAACAAACTTGGACTCTGTCAGCACACTGATCTGTGAGGACTCATCTAGTTCAGTCCATTAGCATGCCATTTTCCCCTGAGAAAGACCATCCTTTTTCCTCCACACACACGTGCACAGGATTAAACCCAACAGAAACTAAAATTAGCACACGATTCCACAACTCACTCACAACATACAGCAAGGCACAGCAACAACGCTAAGTCAATGACCTGCACATGAGCTATACGTGAGCTATTCTTTTAAATTCCCTGAAATTCAAGCAGTTAGTTTGGACCTTAAACCCCTGAGTGTCTGAAAAAATGACAACAGGATCAATACAATCTATTGGACAAAAGTCAAGAACAAAAAAAAAAAGTGCTAGTCAGGAGTCAGTCAATAGTCCTCTCAGTTTTATTTTGGTCAAAACTTTCAAAAGCAAGACGCATTAACCTAAATTCTTTCATCACACAGTTCTTTGAAAATTTAGCACTTAGGACGGATTAACAAAATGTGAAGGTGCAACCTAGGTGACTGAAAAAAAATTTAAAAAATAAAATAAACTAATTAATATTAGTGCTGGGTTAACATTTCTAACCTCTGCTTTTAGGATTCTGTTTAACTGATTTAGATAAAATATAATGAAGATTCATGGATTTGACAGAGTTGGAAGGGACCTCTAGAGATCATCTAGTCCAACTCCCCAAGATAGCAACTATAGACTTGAAAACAAGTTGAAGAATGAAAAGAGAGAAAGTTCACTTGTTCAGCCTGCTATAAACCATCAAACTGCACCGCATTACTAGCTTATAGAAGTGTCAAATTCATACCTTCAAATAAATTACAGCATCTGAACCAACGCCTTCCATTGAGTAGAGTTTAAGGTCACCTTGAAAGTACCTAGCGTACAGACGAGAAATTGGCAAGCCATAGCCAAACCCAGCCTACAACAACAAGGAAATAAAAGGAAAAACAACAGATGAACAAAGCAAAATGCAACAGATCAATCGTTTATAAAACAGAAAATACATAAATATTAGATTTGCATCAAATTACTCTTCAAGCTTTCCTTTATTACTCAGCCTGCACTGTAAATTGGTATTCAACCTTTTGAGCAATATCCTTTTTTTCCAATACATAATTTTTCAGCTTAAGTATAGAAAAGGGAAAAATATCGGAGTCCTTTGTTAGGACTACTTTATCCATTTTACATTTTCTCAAAGAGACAGGTAGGTGTAACACACCATATATGCTGCCTCCAAGCAAAGCAAACTGATACCCCCCCGAGCCTGGGATTATTATTCTCAAACATCTCCACACTCAGAAGACTACACAAGGAAGCCAGAGACAGCTCTTTACTTCGTCTAGGTCACACTATTAAGTGACTGCTGATGCCACACTGCATTAGAGATCAGAATACCACTGCAGAAGACTACATACAAAGCAATACAGGGCAAATAATCCCTGCTGTTGTTTACCCATCTAGCAGAAGATCGGGATTCCACAGCACTGAATGATCTACTGAGGACTGAGACCCTGTACAGGCCACACAATTTTCAAAGCACAACAGACCTGACAGGTACAAGTTTTAGATTTACAGCACTAATACTCATAACCATATCTGCAACAAGGTCAACACTTGGCACCTTTTCAAACCCACTCCTGTCACAAAAAGTTATTAAAAAACCAAGCCCATCTCACTTACTTACAGGGAGTAAGATTCTGGCCTACACAGAGTCTCTTTCAGATGTCTGGGTATGTGCTGAGAAACACATGGGCTCATCATTCACCTGACACTCATCTTCCCCCCAGCCACTGAACTTTTTGGGACTATCCAGAGCAATAAAGAAAGGATTTCAGACATACAGGCATTTGAAAATAAGGACAATGAAGTAATAAAACTTTTCCATAAGGATGGATTACAAAAAAAAACTAGACACCTGAAGTTTTCAGAAAACCAATAAACTCATTCCACTATGATATTTCTACAAAGGCAACCTGACAGATACTGAGACTCGTGCCCTGAATCTGAAAAACAAAGCCCCAAAATGATACAAAGAAGAGTAGATTAAGAAGCAAGACTTGTGAGCATAACACACAGCTAATACATGGCATGACTTTTTAAGAAATCACTTGAGGGAGGGGTGAACAATAAAGAGCTCTGTACTACAGTACCCATCACAAATTCTCTTGCTGTCATCTACCATCTCTACAGGTATTTTTTTAACCTCTTTGCCTGTTTTTACAGAAGTCTAAATTTAGTGATCTTAACCTGGTTGGAGTTTCTCACACTGATGACAAACAGTTCTTCTGAGCAAAATAAGAAATAGAAATGCCAAAGATGCCCTTTTCTACTCACACCACTTGTCATAGTTATTAGTGTCCATTTCCACAGTTAAAAGTGCTTAGCTGCACTTTTTCAAACAACTGCTTTAAAAATGTAGTTCTCAAAGACTCTCATTAGAGACACATGCATCACTCTCAAATGCCTGGCCTTGAAACTAGATGCATTTCTTTCTTAATCTCAAAAACTGGAAGTTATCTGAAAAAACTAAAAAGAAATTCCCGAAGCTGACTTGCATCTTCTCTGGAGACCAGACAATAAATCCATTACAGAAATTCAAAAGCACAGCAACTGGAAGGCAAATTGTAGATAGCACCTATCCCCAGAAACAGTTCAAGCAAAGGGCAGTAGTACCAAGCAATCCTGACAACATATTATGCTTTCCTCTTTCCAGAATTATGCCTCCTTAAAACCCCTGCCCAACTTCTGTTTGCTTCCTGCTCCTTCCAGGAAATCTTTTTTCATACTCTGTGCTAGCCCACACTGTTATTTCATACTTCCCTCTTCCAAAAATTTCCTGTCAGTCTCTTCTCTACATTGTTTTCAGGGTATTTTCCAAAAACAGACAACTTACAAGATCTTGGGATCTATTGTCTTCATATTTCTTATAAAGGGTCTATTTTGCAAAGGAAAATTAACAAGAAGTGATTACTACATAGGTCTGCGCTTGAGGACTATTCTAAGGACAGCAAATAGCCAACGATGGCACATCCACCCTGAGAAGAGAAGCTTTGCAGAGCAAATTTCTCATTAAATATTACAGTATGCATTATATACATGGAACATTATTAAATTTCTGTGTTACTAGCATCTACAGGTTTAATTAAACCTAATTTAAGCCATGCTTCTCCCACTATAAACAAATGCTGCCAAGGAGAGAATCATCAAATTCTCTAAAAAAACCTAATTATCAAACATTACCATGTGTTTCTTATGCTTCCACTCTGCGTATAGCAGTACAGATGAGTGCAAGACCTGCTAGAATCTGAATGCTGCCATGGTAACAAGGTTTCTCAGCAGTTTTTAAAGAACATTTGCAATGACACAAAGAATTTTTACCGATCAACAAAAAGATCCCTCTCTTCCTCTGCGCAAGTCCATGAATATTTCATAAGCTAGACAGGGGATCATATAACAATGGGAGGGAGAGTTAAAACAGAAAAATACGTCTATTTACACTGCACTGTAATTTAGTTTACAAATGTTGTCTAAGTCAAGAATGACACAAGCACAGACCTACCTACCTTCTGGAGCACAGTAATGCTTAAATAGGTTGGTCTTTGGCACTGAGCAATACAGAAACTCTTCTTCTGTATAGACTTCGAAGAGGATTTATGCGGAAACTTTCTGCTGAAGGATTTTTATTTCTATACTGACATGAAGTATAGTGTAATTGGTTTTATAACTGGATGTGTATTATTATACACAACGTGTGTCAAGCTTCACTGATAACATCTGTAATTGGTTTTATAACTGGATGTGTATTACACACGTGTGTCAAGCTTCACTGATAACATGCTTTTTCCTTATAGTGGAAAGATAGGCCACAGACTCTCAGTTCTTGACTTTTTTCTTTCTGCACATATATACAAATAACAGAGCTTAACAACTTTTCAACATCTAATCATGTACTGGCATTGGTCAGACTCCCAGAGCAAAAGCTGCCAGGTTCACAAGAGAGGGAGGCTTTGCAGGTCTGACTACAGTGACATAGAGACTGAAAACAGAGCCTTAAAACGGGGTACAGTAGAAGAAAACTAAGTATAAATGCTGCAGAATCAAAGTAAGCAGACCTGAAGATGAGGAAATAAACACAGGAATGCATTGCTGAAGAGGCATGAGGGGAGGGGGGAGAGACAACAGCGTCAATCCTAAACTGAACACGTTTTACAATCAGAGAGCCACAAAGGAAGAGACATTTCAATAGTGGATATAACTGGTAATCAAGGTGTAAGTTTATAGTGAGAACAAGTTTCAGGAAATCTTTGTAGGCTGATACAGTAAATTGCTGATCAAAAGTGAGACAGAACAAAGGCAGATTATGAATCAAGAAAAAGTCTACCTTTCTTGCCATAAAGAAAAAAGCTTGTATTTGAATTAAGCCTATTCCCTGTCACTCAGCCCATTCAAGAAGATGATCTATGAAAAAGCCACACCATTGTTTGAAATATATAACTAAGGTATGTTGCAGACTTGGGAGCTGTGAAGGATTAATATTAAGGCAATGCAGATACAGAATGCAGATGCCACCTACCGCGGTGGCGTCAAACACTGGTGAAAGCAATGCAGTACACTGACATGCCACAATGCTATGTATGAGCTGTGGACTACAACAGTACCATGAAGAATTTAAAAGTGAATTTATTATCTCTGAACCACTCTGAACTGCTTCCATCCTCAGTTCACTGTTAATTATGTTGTATCAGAAATAGTCACATACTCTCTGCACCGCATTTTATCAGCTGCCTAATGGCACTTCAAGCACAGAAATATCAGCAGAAAAAAAAAAATCACTTAAGAACACTCTCATCTAGCAAGTTCTTAAGCAGGGAAAGTAAATTTCTCAAAGAATTAACTTTTTCTTGACATGCTTGAAGATAAAAGGATCGCATCAGAAGCAACAGAGAATGAAGATGAGAAGAGACAAGCATACAGTGTATTAGTATTAATACACTTATTGAAAGCCAGTTAAATGGAACAGTAGCTATATCATTTTTATCACAATGACCCAATGTGTAATTTAATAAATAATTTAGAATCATAGAATCATTCAGGTTGGAAAAGACCCTTGGAATCAAACAGTCCAACAATCGTTATTAGTTATTAAAATCATCCTTGCTAAAAGACTCTATGCATTCAACACTGAAATAATTCCCTGCTTAGAAGAAACCGTAGTCAAGTTTAGTTTGTTTGAAATCTGACACTAATACATTTCAGAAAGGAGTATCATATGAGTTATCTCCAGCTGAACAGGAATATACTAGAAGTGTTCATATCACACAAAGGTTGATGAGCTTATTTTTTTTAACCTGTTTTTGCAGTCCATAACATATAAAAATAATTTTCAAAGGTCAATATAAGCTTGTGCGTTACCAGGAGGTGTTTCTCTAGTGTTATAATTCTGTGTGGCTCACCTTTCCAAAACATTATAGGAAATTTTGATAAACAGTAATTTACACATCAAAGAGGAGCTCATTAGGTTATCCACCTTCTCAGTAATACAGCACTAAAAATCCTGTCCATTAACATGTGAAAATATTGTGCTTACGCATATGTGCTTGTTTCCAAGAATATAATGTCAAGACAAAGAAAAGCAATTTTCTATTCCAAAGACTAAGTGATGATAACAGGCCCCATTTTCTCCTGATATGTTTTACCTGCATAGAATTGCTAATGATAAACATTTCTTCAACAGAAAACCTGACTGAAGGAGAGTACAGCTAGAGTAGGGCAAAGGAACATTTAAATACACATTGCAATTGCTTACCAAAGGCACAGCTCTCGAGGGCTCCAAACTAGGCCTGGGTGCTGTTGAGTACATGTAGTTAAACAATCTGTCTATTTTTCTTAAAGGTACACCTCCTCCTTGATCACTTATCTAAGGAATAAAAAGTTAGAGTTTTAAACATTCTGTTCTGAAAGAAATCCTGCAAAACTCAGGCAGCATTATCTAAATGACTTCAGGAAAGGAGATGCTAAGGACTTTGGGTTTGTCTAATTTGGAGAAGAGGTGGCGTGGTCGCTCTCTGCAGCCTCCTGAGGAGGGGAAGCGGAGAGGGAGGTGCTGATCCATTGACTCCATTATCCATTGACTGGACACGTGGGAATGGGTCAAAGCTCCAGTCAGGGAAGGTTTTGACTTGACATTAGGAAGCATTTCTTTACCGAGAGGATGTTCAAGCCCTGGAACAGGTTTCCTAGACAGGAGGCTCGTGCCCCAAGCCTGTCAGTGTTTAAGAGGCATTCGGACAATGCCTTTAATAACATGCTTCTACTTTTGGTCAGAACTGAAGTGGTGAGGCAGTTGGACTAGGTGATCCTTGTAGGTCCCTTCCAAGGGAAAATATTCTATTCTAAGGAATATGAAGCACACGTCAAAAGTGATACAGGAATTAGTTGGCCTTTTCAAATTACTAGTCATACTACTCTAAATGTAGGAGGTTTGTAAGCTGCATGTTATTTTCAGGCATTTACCTTAATTGATAGATCTTCTTTCCCCAAAGTGACTAAGGTTTTGATCGATGGATAGCCTTCTTTCTTACCTTCGTGCAATTCTACTGTAGCTCTCATTGAATTCTGAAGATAAAAGAAAAAAACAGTGTCTTTGATTCTAACTTTACCATTCATGCTTTTTGTGACAACTTAAAACTTGCACTTATTTTGTTGCATCTAGATACTTAGTCCCAGATTTGTGTACAGGACAAAAAAAGCCATACTTAAAACAAATTCAAGAAGTGCTTTCAAGTCAATGAGTTGTCCAGTTAAACTTCTACATCAGAACTCCACTGCACATACTTACATCTATGGGATACAGAGTCAGAGAACATAAAGCAAGAAATATGTTTTTTCCTGTGTGAAATCAAGTTTTATATCAAAGGGATGACAACATCCTTCACCTCCACCTTGCAGAACACCAATAGTGATGTTCACCACAGAGAACAAGCTTTGATTTTCACAGCTTGGGTCACAACTGTTAAGTCACCATCTATAAATATACCACATCTATTAGCAGAGTTTCCACAGCCAGTCTGACACAGACTACCATTACTTCATACTGTTTCATGACCTGTACCAAAACATTAAGGTATTAACAAGTAGTCTACAAATTCTCACACCTGTTCTTCCCTAGAATTAATGTTACAAATGGCAAAATAGGGGAAGATTTAAATGAGCATACTTGACAAATGTCAAAAATCTAACCCAAAATACCACTATTTAGGAAAAGTTTCTCTGACCAAATGCATTTCCCCCTGAATTTCTAGTGTTCAATTGCACCACCTAGAGACCACTTATCTTACTAGAAAGCACAAAATAGCTCTCACAAGTTCCATTTTCACTGTTGTTGCAATTATTCAGAAAACACAAATAAAAACAAAACAAAGCATGTAATTTACTCTATTCAAAGACATAAGGGTGTTTTCACACTAAACAAAAGACACTGATTCTAACCAGTTCTCTACGCAGTAAAGAAGCAAGGTTATGAAAATTGCAAGGTAATGGATATATCATTGCAAAAATAGGCTATCATGAGTGTTTTAAGTTAATCAGCTGCAAAAGCACAAAAGGAGAAGTGAGAAAACACAAATTTTTTTAAGCACACAAGGGCATAAGAGAGGGCTGCAAACCTAGCTTTTAACAGTTTCAGACACTCTTTACTTGTTTAATAAGGTTAAGAAAGGAAAACTGAAATGATATTGAGGAGCTGTAACTGAAAAGAATCTGAACTTCAAGTGCCCCAAGCCTGTACAACTCCCTTCAAAATACAAATATTAACAAGTGCAACCTACCTTGAATAATTCAAATAACATATGAAACAAATGAGAAGGTACGTAGACTACTTGAATAGAACAGTAATTTAACCTCACAACTCCCTTCAAAATACAAATATTAACAAGTGCAACCTACCTTGAATAATTCAAATAACATATGAAACAAATGAGAAGGTACGTAGACTACTTGAATAGGCTTGTTTGGAGCTTTAGCTAAAAAAAAAAGTAATAAAAAAGACAAATTATTTTTTTTCAGAACAGTATTTTGTAGTATTTCTATTTAGTGGAATAACATGAATTGTAGGCAAAGACAAGTATATAAGCATGTTCTAATTTTCCAAGTGCAAGACTAGGTCCATGAAGTAAATCCCTGCATTCCAGTAAATGCTATCACCTGAAATAGCACAGTCTAATGATGATTTTCAAAGACATCTATATCAGCAGACGTTGTTTAGATATGAAGTTTCACCAAGTAGTGGTTGATTTAGTACAGACGGTGTACGTTAACTAAGAGAAGTTCCCCACGTAAGTGGGAAACTTTCTTAACACACACAATATTTAAACATAGTACTTGCTGCACAAAAAGATTCTTGAACTAGAAAAAAATCACTATTTAAAAATTCTAAAAACTACACATTTTCCCTTAATACATATAAAATGTAAAGTATTCATAAATTTTTTAAAAAGAAATTTCAGTCAATATAACAGCTTTCTTATTCCAAATCATAACTGAATTGTTTTTCCACTGTTGTCCTATTGTTAGTGTTTTGGCAGAGGTGTATGGCTTAACACAGCTCTGAATGCTCTGAGTGCAAATTGATTTGGCAGAAAATCATACAGCTGCATTTAGTACATTCCAGGACAGTCTTGGTGCTGAAGATGCAGTCACACCTGAACATTCAAATATCTACTGGCATTAAATTTTACAGTCACAGCTTGTCAGACTCAGCAGTAGTTCACATTGAGGAAAAGTCTCTAAGTATCTGCTTCATAGATTGTAGGAGGATACAAACATGCATACAGAAAGCAACTAGAGTCATCTTCATCCTTTTTGGCACTTAGAGCTGATAATAATATCAGTTATTACTTTAAGAGACATGGTAGCGAAAACTCCTAGGGAAAAGGAGATCAAAACAATGCTCTCATAATTAGATGTAGGGCAACTTGCTGTTTTAGTACGTTAATTTTGTCAGTCCATACTCCAATTCTCTTATCATAGAATCACAGAATGTCTTGGGTTGGAAGGGACCTGAAAGGTCATCAAGTTCCAACCCCCCTGCCATGAGCAAGGACACCACCCACTAGAGCAGGTTGCTCAAAGCCCCATCCAGCCTGGCCTTGAACACTTCCAGGGATGGGGCATCCACAGCTTCTCTGGGCAACCTGTTCCAGTGCCTCACCACCCTCACAGGAAAGAATTTCTAGCTAATCTAAATTTACCCTCCTTCAGTTTGAAGTCATTACCCCTTGTCCTATCGCTATTTGCCCTTGCAAAAAGTCCCTCCCTGGCTTTCCTGTAGGCCCCCTTCAGGTATTGGAAGGCTGCTATAAGGTCTCCCCAGAGTCTTCTCTTCCCCATGCTGAACAACCCCAACCCTCTCAGCCTGTCCCCAGAGGGGAGGTGCTCATCACTAAAACCAAGGCAGACTGATTCACACTCATCTGAGGCCTAGAGTACATGTAGAATACATGCTACTGTTGCTCTTCTGAGATAATTTGCAAAGTCGCTTTCCCCATGTTGGCTAATTTAAAGGAAACAAGTAATTTTTCCTCGCTTTTTAAATGAGATCCAGCAACTTGCTTTCTCTACTGTTGCATCTTTTTACTTAGGCCTTAAACTCAAATTTGCATGGACTCCTCTGCTGCAGCACTCAGTACTTTTTAACTCTAAAAAAAGAAAATCACTCAGATTTGGAGGGGAGAAGGTTTGGTCCTTTGGTTTTGGGAGGGGGCTGGTAGTAACGCATCAGTGTTGACAATATCACTTTGTGTAGAGAAGTATTTCTACAATATTAAATAGTAGTTTGAGCAACATATGCTCCCATACATTACACGCTCCATTGAGTGTTACCTATTTCTGAGACTTTTGCAATTCTTCTGCTGAAGTTTGGAAATATCTTAATCTTATGTTTGGACAGCTGTCCAAAATTTCTGAGAAGATCACTCAAGACAATTTAACTTAAAAACTAAAAAAATACCTCCACCTTTTGTCAATAGAAATGATGAACAACAGCAACTAAAAAAAAAAAAATCAGTCAATACACTGACAAGGACTGTCTCATCAGTTTCATAGCATCCAGTTTTCATCTTTGCAATCAACTTAAACTTCTCACATGAAAATCTGCACCATGATAGGACTTGAATGTAAAAAAATTTCTGATTTCATCATCTTATGCAGAAGAGCTCACCACTGGTGCAGGGACTGACAATGGAATTTATAAGCATACTTTAAAATTAAACAAATTTCAGCTCAATCAACAAATTAGAAGATTAGTTAGAAGGCAGGCATGTTTCCTTCCCAGTTATAAGGAAAAAAGTGGTCAAGAATCCTCAAAGAGACAGTGAAGTCAGCAGATAGCACTCTGCATTCAGCAACAAGAAGCAAACGTGTCATGACAATCAACTATAATTCAGGTGCCCATGTAGCCATATTAGAAGAAATGTAATTCTGCATACAGGACTGCAGAATTCCAATTATAACTTAAAATAACAAAATCAGAAATCACAGATATAAGAAATGCTTAAATTTTATTTAATTTCAGAATTACCATTGAATTCTTCAACTTCCAGATCAGGTGCCACCATATAGTACTGTTCACATAACATCTTAGCTGTTTCATAAGCATCTGCAAAACAACAGAATACCGATTTATTAAAATAATCTAGAGACAAGTAGCAAACTTCATCCTTTATGGGAAAGACTACAAGTGGAACAATCATTTTAGTAACTTGTTTACAAGTGTGAAACCAATATCCATTCCAATTCCTTTTTCTCTGTATGCTTATAGCCCATTTGTCAAGAAAGGGCAAATTCTGTTTCAAGCTCTACAAACAAAAGTACATTACTGAAGACAAGCTATTTTCCGTCTTTGTTCAGGGTTGAAAACCAGAAGGGTATAATCTTAGGTTGACCATAATATCTACTTATTTCTTGTGCCCCGATCACAAATTAATGTTTGGAGTTTTTTTATTTGAGATGGAAAAAACAACTATGACATTGCAACCATAAATTCAGTTTTTCCAATCACAAGACTGTTTACAAGACTTGATTTTCAAGGTCTTTGGGGGGGAAAGCTGGAATCTTTAAGATTTTCTTCTTTCCTACCAAACAACAACAGCAGCCTCCCCATAGTCCAAATCAGGCTTTATGTATCGCCAAGATACAAGAAGAAAGTTTAAGTCATCTTTTGTTTGAAAGAGTTCTGAGTGGTTATAAATATTCACTGGTATGTCAATTGCAAAAATCTTTTAGAAACAAGCAGCATTAGCTTAAAGAGAAACCACAAACTCAGAGATGTTCTAACTACATTGCTTAAGCTATCTTAACAAAAGTGACTTCCTCGTAGTAAGTGTGGGCTAAGAGAAAGCACAAACAGATGGGCAGTTCTGCAGACAGAGAGAAATTTGCTAAGATACCATAACAGTGGCATTTGATCTTCTCCTATGTATATCTTCTTCCTCCTGTCCCCAGTGACACCACAAAACAAAACAGTCACTGCCAAGACTCAGAGCTATGTGAAAAAGCACAAAGTAAAATTACTAGTCCCCAGAAAGGACTGGTTATCTATAATTGTTCTCCTTCAAGATGTCTACAGAAATAACCTATAATGTGCCCTGCTATCTGAAAAAAAAAAAAAAGAACAAAAACAAACAACTTATTACTTGTTCTGACATCCACAAGGTTGGACGTATCACACAAGGCTGACAAACGCTGCTTAAGGTTATTAGAATGGAGCTAATCCACATTAGAAAAGTTCTTGATCAAGTCCCAGGAATGTGACAAGATGGTCAGCTCCAAAGACTTTCTAAAAAGGTCCTGTCATCTGAACAACAAAACATAGCCTAGTAAAAAGATCAAAATTCCATTTAATATCCAAACTGTACAGAGAACCTCATCCTGGGATGTGAATAATTTACAAAAAAAAGATGCAGGAATACCTACACTTACACAATATTCTAAGGTCATCTCAGAACTTCTGATGGCCTTGGGAGTAATCCTTTCTATGCCCTAGAAAAAAAGGTGCATAAGAAGCACAGCCACAACTTTGACTCGGTCATCAAAAGCTGAAGATAGCAATGCAGCCAGTACAACCATAAGGCTATCTACATGGAGAAAGGAATAAGTGAGCACATTTCAAAGAGTTTTCATAGAAGTGAAAATTAGATACGGATTCAGGGGCAAGAACTGGATTCTTACTGAGGAGAAAAACTTCATGGTCTCTGAAAGCAAATCAGTAACTACGTGGGAATAAAACAGAAGCCCTCAATACATGGATGTGAAGCAGACACAGTCACTATGCAAATCTTGAGAGAACTAAGAGGCTCTAAATAAATTCAGCCTCCCTAAAGGGGGTTTTTCAAGAAAGTAGCCACCCTAACACCCTTGAGATGAACAGGAAGGCACCATCACTTCATGATCCAGTAAAATATCCAGTCTCAAGCAAAGCTGTGTTAAACAGAGTCTGAGTGCTGTCTTACATTTTACCTTCCTCTAAAAGCCAAGTGTGGCAGAGTCCTAAGATTGTAAGCGAGACTGCAGAGTTCAAAGCACTCTTCAAGTCGTGGCTGGAGGTTAAGTAGCAACAAGAATGAATGATCTATATATATCTAAAATTCCAAGAATAAGCCTGGATTTACTGTCAGCTCAAAAATCTTATTGTAGGACAGGCAGTGAGATACAGAGACCCACCTCAGTTACAGACACAACACTTGGTGGGGCTGCTTGAAGTAAGAAGTGGCTGTTTAAATCATTTCTTCAGTGTTTGAAGGGCATACAGAACTTGTAGCTGCCACATACAGTGCCAAAATCAACATCTGAACTCTGACAAATAGCTCAGAACACCGTCTGTGCGCCAGAACATTTTGGAGCTAGCACAATATACAGAATGTAAATTAACCCCTCCACTAATTCTACAAGGAAATGGCCTCAATCACCTTGACTCTAGACAGCGCCTGTCTTTAAGGACAGTTCATTTCTTTCAAAGACAACACTGGATACTATTTATAATGCCCTTGTTTTGTTAGCAATTGTTTCTTCAGATGATGAAGATGTATTTTAGCTACTGGCTTGAAAACTGGACTGAGCACCTTCTGACACCAGAGACTCCTCTGTCCAAGGCAGTGATTATGGATTTGATGATCAAAATAGATTCAAACATTACTATTAGAATGAGTACCTAAATAAACAACACAACTGTAACATATACAATGCTGAGGTCAAAGTGGAGTAAGATCAATCAGAAGAAAAGAAACTTGCTAAAAAAAAAGGCCCTCTTAGAGCCAAAAAGCTAGAAGGCAAGACGACTTCATAACAGTAAAAAAAAATCTACATTACAAAGCAAGCTATCATGCAAGTTGAAGTCTAACATAAGAAAAACTTCCCCTTATTTCACTAAAAGCTGAAAGTGAAGGGAAGAAACACATTCTTCCCCTCCTGCAGCTGCACAAACAGCAGTGAAGGACAGAGTCCTACAGCAGGACCTGTATTTGTAAATAGGTACACCCAGAACTCGAACCTTCAATACACAAGTTCTTGAAGGAGATAGCATTGCCTCAGGCCTACTTACTAACATTTTGAAAGCCTATGAACATCCACAGCATTAAGCAAACAGGGTTTATTAAGCAAAAAGGAGTTCTAATGCAACTGTGCCAGATCATTCAGGTACAAACATCTCACACATCTTCTAAGAAAGAACAGGCTGTGATATGATCCGATGCACATAGTAATGGCGAGTTTCCCTGGAATATCTGTATACCTGAGGACATTCTACTGAAAGGCCTAACTAAACAACTGCAAAGTTTCACTTACTCTCAATTTTCTTTAGTATACCAGCGTCAGATAAAAGAGGAGTACATGAGAACCTGCTTCTAAGTATTCCAGGAAAAAAGGCATTTAAAGTTTATCAAAACACTTCAAAACTTAGTTTTGTTAACATACCAAAAGTTTCTCCATTCCCAATAATGAAGACATTAAAAAGTCTCAATAAACCCATGGCTTTATTGTGAGCAACTGCAGAACTTTCATTTCTTTTCTTTTTATTAAATGAATTTAAATGACCTTCAGTCTTTTGTATCTCAAAAACATATTTATGCATATTCTAAGTGTGTGTGGGGTGTTTAATCAACAAAAATATTAACTTCATCTTACCTTTAACCACCTCTGCCACATTGCAATTAGGATCAATACTTCCAATATGTTTGGGATGAGCAGGATTAATATCTCCACCAAAAAGAAGTGCTAAAAGGAAAAAGAAATGGCAGTAAACTGTCTATTACACTTAAGGCAGCCCAGAAAGTTTAAATCTGATGGTATCTTAAACTTACCGGATAGCACATCATTTTGTAAAAGATTCTCTAGCAAATTGCCAGAATTCTTGTTTAGGAAGACTACTTCCCTCTTTCTTTTTTTTTTTTTTTTTTTTTAGCCCCCCTCTTTTTAATTTTTTTTTATAGCTAAGACTCGTTAATACAGAAATAGTGGTGTGGTGGGTTAAAATGAAAACCTACATTTCAAAGTGGACTATTAAAAATTAGATGAAACTGAAATGTCAAATGTTCCACTCATACTATTATTTCAGAACAGCACACTCACAGCAATGAAAACGTTATAAACTGAGGAACTGCAAGACAGCATTAAAAGCCTTTTACATACACCTAAGCTGCAATTTCACAGCTGGCAGAGAGGTCTCACTCTATTTTCTCCCTGACTCTCAGCAGTATGCTCCCCACTCCCTCCTTTGCACTAGGATCTGGCACTCACTAGATCCTTCCCTGAGAGTTTAGCTCTCAAAGTAGAAAGGTTTTACACTTTTTCGCAGAAATCATTTTCTGCTATTTTAGCAAGTTAGTCAGCTCTAAGATGAAACAGGTGCAGTATGAGGTGAACAAAAGAGAAGTTCTGAAAGCTTTTCCTATTCTGGCCATAGTGAGCTAATACAATGGTACACTGCACACTGCGGAACTGCACTGTAAGAAACAGCCCGTCAATAATGTAAGAAACAGAAACGCAAGCTAAATAAAAACCTGTTTCTTCATTCTGCTTTCCAATTGTCTTTTTCATCGGTGCTTCAAGCTTAATACTTGCCATCACTGATGGATCAGTAACATTGCTTAGCATAGAGAAATTGTACAACTTTAAGCACTTACAAGCAGTTTAAAGTTTCAACCAGTTAAATAAGAGCGTCCATAGGAAAAACCATTTCAGTTCAAAAAAAGTAATTTTAATATTTTAGAACTAGAGTAAATTTTGCTAACACTTGGCCCAAGAATTCTATTAAGACAATGTTTTAACTTATTGCTAAAACTCTTCTATGAGAGCCTTTTAACTTGGTTTTCTGTCTGTCACTTGTCTGCCCAAGTTCAAGTAAAGAATAAGCTGCACGCATCATTTTGTATGGTTTGCCACATGAAACATTTGTAAACACACAGCAAGGCAGTTGCTAGTCACACAAAAGGGTACTGGAAAGACACACACAACTTGCAGTAAAACACCTCACACTACAGTACTGTAAGCATCTGTTATCTGTAGTGTACTACAATTTCTAAGAGCTCATAAAAGCAGGATATTGGGCAGAGAATGAAGCTCTAGAGCGAAAAGGTACACTAAAAAGATATCACAAGATTGTCCTTAACTTTATACAGATCACTTTCTGCATGGTTGCAAATATGGGTTAATAGGAGCTGTGCAAGTAATTCCTTTCACTCTGTAATACGAATATAAAAAAGTTTATTAGTAACAAAAAACGACACAGCAGCTAATGACAAAGGACTAATTCTAGCATTTACTCATAAATAGGGAATAGGAAATAGAGGGAGACAAGGGATATAATTTAAAACTTGAGTTAGAAATACTCAATCTCTTTAGAAGGCAGGAATGTTTAGATAACTTGCTGAAAAATCAACAGTAAAAGACATTGTGCATAAACTACTCAAAGTTTACGGCATCCTTGCATTTCATTATGAAATAAATGTAAGTTGTACAAACCACGTTGAAAGATTTGTGAGCAAAAAGATACAACTATTCTACTGCTATCTAAAAATACTCCATGTATCACTACACAAGCTGTCTCTGCCAGTAAGATTAAAAAGTGACAGCCATCCTGACAAAGCCTGACAACTCTAGAAGAAAGCGTACTGGTGTTTTGGATTCATTTCTGAAAACTGCTTATTACCAAATTAACCAGTCACCACTATATCTTTTACCATAATTGGCACAGAATATTAAGAATTAGTCATGAGAATGAAAAAAGAAAAAAAGCAAAGCTCTGGCTTTAGGTTCACAAGCCTAATGAGTTCTCAAAGATGAAAAAAGCAATTACTTACTGTGTTGGTTAATAAGCATACGGAAAGAGATGCGATTGGTGTAGAATCTATCTAGAAAATACTGGATGTTACTGCTAACGAATGGATCAAAGCCATATTTTTCCTTGTATTCAATCACCCCTTGCGCCATGGTTGGAACCACATCATTGTGTCTGTTCCTGACTTTAATTAAAACATCTAAAAAGCTAGAGGAAACAAAATTAGAAACAGATTGTTAAAAAGTATAATTAAACTCACATCTCTCACTTCTGTTTTCAACTCCCCCCAGCAAAACCCTTTTATCCATTTACTATCCCTCCCAGCCAACAGAAAAATTATAAGGAGAATACAAAAATATAGCAAAACAAAAATATAAAACCAAACCTATTTAAAGAGAAATACTTTGTCAACCCCTCACCCACAAAAATCTGTGAAATATTTAGGGCCTCAAATTAAGTTATTCCTCAGCAAAACATTCCTTCAAATTCAATCTCTCTTCACCATTATTAGAGAACAAATGATTTTCTTTTATCACAATCGTATGCACCATGGTAACTCTCATTCTCTGTAACAGTAGCTGGCAGATGGGAAAGGAAACTCAGGAAGAACAACCTGTCCGTCCTTCATAATTTCCTGAGGAATTTTAACCTTCACACTTTCTTCCTAAAACCCCAGCCCGTGTGGTGTAACTTCTGAGTGCATTTCCTTTGCCTGGCATCTACTCCGTTAAGTTTGCATATCAGGACAAGTAATTATTATTGGTATGACTTCTGTTCAGTTTCCTTTTATACCACTGGATGGCAGAGCATGTAAAACGGTGCTCTCACAGGCTCTTTCCCGCGGTAGCTCGGCAAGTTTTCGGATATCGCTTCCATCACTTGTAACAAGCACCTGTTAACAGGCACTACATTTGAAACAGCTTGGAGAATTTTTGTTTCTCCTGCCAAGGCAGCTCAACACCTATGATCTTCAAAGAGCTCTTCCTTTTTCTTCCCCAAGTGCAAACTCATACATACTTGAAAAGCTAGTTCTTAATAGCTTTCTGAAGCCTAGACATGGAAAATCACTACTACTCAACTCTGCTATATTCTCTAATATTAAATTAATATTGACACCACTACGAATACATGATCTTGTTTAAGAGAAAAGCAGACAGTGAAATGCAGCTTTCAAAAGAAAGCACAGCTGGGAGACTCCTTCACCTATGCCTATATCTGCAAATCTACAGATCCTTAAAAAAAAACCCCAGCTTAACATTCTCAGTAGATTTAGAATGAACAGCAAAAAAAAGGTATTAATTATTTTTATCAAAAGTACAATATACACCAACTAAGAAAGGAAAGAACATTAAGACTACCAAAAGCAGTCAAGTTGCCACAGACGCTTCCCTCCTTTTTATAACTCCTTAGCTAAGACAATCATTTTTGATAGTACACCTTATCATTCTTAACAGGTGATATGCTTTTAAAGTTATTTCTCCCACCCTATACTGCCAGCTCCAAAGGCAGTAGGATTCATTTAATAGCTTTTTTCATCATCCTCAGTGTAACCACCAGGTTTTGTGTTTGTATTAACAAACAGTTCAGTAGTTTTTCAGCACTATTTTGCTGCATAGAAGAGGGGAAGCTTTAACTGCCTAATTCCCCAATCTAAATACTATCACAGAACAGAAGGACTGTTTCCTTACTTACCAATCTTGCTGACTAGAACAGCTTAAAACACTTTAATAAACATAAAAACACAAACCTTTTCAGCATTAAGTCTTGATTCTGTATGATCTATAACCACTGAGATCCGGTGTAACCACTGAGTTTTGTTTTCAAGACAAGCCTACTGCCTGGCTGTACTCATGTTGCTTCTCTGTTTCAGAGCAATGAGACACTAGCCAAAACCAGAGCAAAGAAGCAACAATCACATCTGAAAGACAACTGTAAACATCCTCTAAAAATTGCTATTTGCTGACAGCTTAGCTATTTGTTTTTAAATACCTCCACTATCCACAATATAAACAAGACACCCACGTGCTCCACAAGGGTAACACGTTCACTGACATCCTGCTACCAAAGTGCTTAAATGCACAGAGCATTCCGAAGGGCAAACAAAGGGCTAGGAGGTTTAATTGCTATAGACCCGAAAATCACAGCTGAAGCTTTGTGTCTATTTGCACACTATAAGAGGAATTCATTATTACAGTGATATGACAAACCTCACATTCCATCTTCAGAGATAACCGAGTTCACTGAAGTGTTTTCATCAAGCAGATCCTTTTAAAGGACCAAACACATGAAGTACATAGGCATGTTTCAAAGCAGCAGGTCAGAAATCAAGATACATTGCCTTAATCTTACCAGTTATTCCTTACAAACCCCTGCCCAACCCCTCACCTGAAATACACAAAGCTTCTACTGTACTCAAACTGTGAGAGACCATATAAAGGAATTTTTAAAATGCTCATGGGATTAGAGGAGGGGGGGCGGAGACAGGACAGAACATGACAATACTCCAGAATAGCTCTGAAAATTTGATTAAGCAATGACTTTTTTTTTTTTCAAAATTCAGTGTATATTTTCAAAACCACAATGAATAAATAATGCAGTTGGTTTGACAAATGAGAAATTATTAATATGAAGCTATTTTAGTGAAGCAAGCTTCAGAGGCTTCTGTACCAACAAAAGATTATTTAAGGCATTACCATTGCTATTAAATAAATTAAGCCTATAAACTTCTGCAAGTCAATTATGAATGTCACAACACAAGTTATTATTTAACTCCCTAATGACTGTATATATTATTCTGTTTTGATCTATCCTCACAATGCAAGAAAAGAAGTCAACATAAAGACAAAGGGAATTTTTGCTATGTCTGTTTTATGGATAATATTATCTAAAAGATTAAAGACAAGAAAGTGATGAGTATACTGAAAAAAATCCTTTAAAATGGAACAGGCGTGCAATGGGGTTTTTTTGATTGGCTGCTCTTTTTTAAAGAGGTGCTAGCTGATAGCTGAGAATCACCAGAAAGACAGGTACAAGTTCACACTATGAAAGATTTCTCTGCTGGAAAGTGTAGCTACTTTGGAAGTGCAAAACTAAGTGAAGTACCATTTCACATTACTTGAAAGTAACAAAATAGCACCTTGTTAATCAAATCTACTCCAACACTTTATTTCAAACTGCTACCAGAATCACTATTTTAATCTTAATGCTACAGAAAAGAAAGTTACTTCTTGTTTACTAAGTTTCTCCTGTGCGTGTTATCTCTAGATAGCTGACAGCTTACTACTACAGTTGCTCTCAGTTCCAGGACACTCCCCCTCACACCCTCTCACAAGGGAGCCCCTAAAAGAAAAATCAGCAAAGAAACTCATGGGAATAGGGAGTGTTCTTCGAACATACACGTGAACAGCACATTTTACAAACCCTTCAGTTTTTTGAAAAACAACTTCTGCCTCTGTGTGTTTATTCTGATGCATATTGACACCTTGGGAGTTTCCAACACTTCTGCCAGCTTACACCCTCTGCCCAAGCACAGACACCTGATCTTAACACTCTGCAATCACTCTCTTTGACAGAACTGTGGAAAGACTTCCACCTGACCTGCCTGCAACTTGACGAAAGATATTTGCCTTACCAAAGATGCAAAAGTAACCTGACCTTTTGGTATATGCCCGTATTACTGGTAGTGACAGTCATCTGGCAACGTCGTAATTAGTCTTCATAAGGCCTGCTAGCCAGTAGAACGTAATAAAGAAACTGAAGCACCTCTGAACTTCCTCCTCATCAGAGAAATGCTGAGACAAAAAATCCTTTGAAAGGATTTTGCCCAGTGTTCATAAAAAGGTACATTTGTCTGGTTTATTACACGATAAATATGGATTTAGTTAAGAGGTTTTTTTTTTTCAAAGATGCATTTTGCCAAGAATATTAAAATAACAGCTAATTATAGCTCAATATCCAGCTAAATGGCATAGACTTCAGAAAGCTAGCAATAGATGACACGTAAAGAGAAGGAAAGTAAATCAGACTTTCTAATCTTAGGTAGCCTATCCAATACTGTCAAGAATAAATTTGAACTTTAATCAGATAATGCAGTTTTTGCCTCTATTCACAGGCCAAACCTAGTACAGAAGACGACCCTTACTGTCAAAGTACCTAACTGGACTTTACCTGAATAGGTAGCAAAAAATTCCCAACATCCTTATTACATAAACTTAATTACATATAATACAGTAATTGCAAGATTTCAAGGATTTTAACAAAAATATACAATGAGAGTAAATACATAATACAGTAATTGCAAGATTTCAAGGATTTTAACAAAAAAAAATACACTGAAAGAGTAAATATTTGGATCATCATGAAATATTTGGTATAACATACTAATATAGCACATCTCAAACAATATTTCCCATTGCCTTGAAACAATATCAAGAATGCCTGTTATCCACATCGGATAATCAGATAATTCATTTGATAATTTTGACCAGACTCTAAAAACAGATCTCCAAGTAAACTGTTCATCAACCTTTTAAAATACATGTATATAGTAATCTACCTTGAACCTCTGAGGTCCATAAGAAGCTGAAATTCAGTTACTTAAATACAGGTAGTCTAAGATGGTACCAGAAGCCACACAACCACCTTGCCTCCACCTGCACATCCAGGACATCATAGGATTAATGGGACCTGGGTTACATATCCCAGGCTCGCTTAGATGTCTAGAACAGCTTGTGCCATCTCCAAAGAAAACAGACACGTAATTTTGGTAGCTTAATCTCACTCAAAATGTTCTTTCGAAGTCAAGCAGCAGGAGAAGTTACTGCTGAACTACTGGCAAACAGAAATTCTTGTCCCATCAGCAAACAGGCTGTAAATACAGTATCACAAAATGTAATAGCTAGAGGTAGTTGAAAGGTTAATCTTATTTAACCACTACAGAATAAGCATGCCTAGAACATCACTGAAAGCTATCTAATCTATTTTTTAAAGCTTTTAAAATGGGATGCTCTACAGCCTTCTGAAATGGTATTTTTCAGTTTGTTCTCCCTAATATGAGAATTTATACTTTTTGCCCTGTATACAATCTCAACTTTAGTATAAATCAGCCATTTTTAAATTCTCCACTTCTTCACTTAAAGCAACCATTCATCCTTTATTACAGCAATTTTTAAATTTTTTTTTTTTTGGCATACTCAGACTTCCAGTCTCGCACTTCAGTTTCCTTTTTGCCAGTCTAAACAAATGCCTTCAGCATTATTCAGAGGTGGAGCTCTCCAAGTTTCTAACTCTTGCTCCTTTCACATAAATTCTGTCCAAATATGTTTTAATGTCTTAATAGGTACTGCCCAGAACTAAAGACAGTATTCCATCTTAGGACTCGCACTGATAAAAGTTACTTTCCTCTTGTTCAATAGAACTACAATTCTCTCAGGCAGTCTATAAACCTTACAGCTCCTTCTACAGTTCTGCCACACTGGGAATTTGGTACTCAAGCACTTGAGTTTCTCCCACATATATTGCTTGATACTTAAAGAATAAAGTGTGAAAACCTCAGATAACATGCCGACAACCAAAAAAAGCATAACATCTAAAATGCATTACCTAATAAAACCCTTACATTAACTGCTATGTTAGGTTAAGTATCTAAAACTAACTGAAGACAAAACACATTTTTGCACAGCAGAGGCCACATCTTTTACAAACAGAGTATTTGTTGGACTACAAGATGTTTTATGAAACATTTCCCATAATGCACTGCTTGATCAGCCAAGATTTCCAGAGCTTAAAAAGAAATTCAAGTTTAAAAGACAAGCTACCCTAAGAAAACTCTTCAACAAACCAAAAAAACCACAAAAAGTAATCGGAATCAAAGTTGACTGCTACACAGTAACAGCATAACCATAGACATTAGTGTAGGTGTGTGTGGGTTTTGTCTTTTAAGTCTCTGATGTATGTGTTGTACTTGTTGTTCTCACTTATACGTGGGGCTTTTTTTCTGTTTTTACGTACATAAATTTCCAGGAAACATTCTAATGACAATTTTAATATGATTTTGTTGATAAAGAAAATGAGCTATGCTCTCCTTACTTCTCAAACTTAAGTAGTATTATTCAATGAGGTAGGTGAACACCAGTAACTGAAGTCCATAAAAAAAGTTTTTATCTAAAAACAGTGATTGACACACTGAATGTTTTCAAACTGAAAAAACCTGAAAGTGCTAATGTGGTAATATACATTACATACAATAGAGTACTTGATATGAATAGAATATTTGATATGCAATGCATGTTGCCTTCTCAATAGAGCCTTGGAGGAAGCATTTCTTGCCATTTCTTAAAACTATCAGACTGTAGAAATGCAAAATATATTGTTCAAAAGCACTTTGATTCTTGTATTACAATTTTGGCCTTTGCTGCACAAATTCTACTTTACAAATAATATCGCTGCCATCCTATAGTACAAATCCACTTTTTCTGAGACACAGTATTTTAAAATGAACCGTCACAAGAAAACAAATTACTCACTCATCCAAAACATGAGGATCCTCAGGACTTTTATTTTCATATTCTAAAAGTTCAAGGAAACTCTGCATGTACCTGAAATAAGCAAAAATGATAAAGGAGGAGTTAAAATACTTAAACCTAAATTACTTTTGAATTTTTGATCTTAAGACTACAACCTCATCTGAAACAACAGAAGTATAGTACACAGTTCTCTGTAAAGGCTAAAACGAAGTGGGATGCTGAGACAAAGAAAGCAACTACAGTATATTACATTGAGTTTAAAAGTATTATTTATGACCGTACGGTCCACAATTCAGGAAAACTGATATATAAATCAAGCTGAAGATAACAGGAGCAAACCCTCTCTTCAGGTAGATCTGTTATTTTAGGTAACGTAGCTCACCCCTGGAGCTTGATTTCTTGGTCATCTACTTTGTAGAGGTGTTAATTTGCTCCCCCGTTCCTCAGAGAGCGATCCAACCTTCCTTCCAAAATAAAGCTCCAGGGAAAACTCCCCCAAAAGTGCTGCTAACACAGCCGCACCAAGCTGGTTCTACCAGAGCACTCCAGAAGAGCACACCCCTTCACACACTCCCACATCTCCTCACGTACCTCAGGCCACGTGACACAACCCTCAGTTTCGTAAAAACAGAACTCTTATACAACACAGCTCTCAGTAGTTCAAAAATTCAGCACACATGAGATTAACTCAGGCTTAGAGCCACAGAGGTACCACACAAGACCCAGAGAACATTTAAGACAAAGTACCACTCAACACGAAAGCAAGCCAGCCTGCTCTGTAGGAAACCAGCTCAGCACCACTATAAATGCCACCACCTCACACCACTGGGCGTGAGGACCTGGTATCACCTCCTGGAGCAGATGCATTAGCGGTACAGATGTAGCTTTAATGGTTACAGAATTGAGACCTATTTCTTGAAGTAAATCATGCAAGGTAGCAATCACACACATAAAAGGCAGGGTTCCAATGTTGCCAGAAGGAGCTCTCATTTCTCTCCCTTTGCCCTCCCTTCACCCCTGGTTAAGCACTGCCACTTACACAATGCTAATCAGATGTCTGTGTCAACAGCTGAACTCCCTGTGATACAACCAGCCCGATAGGTTTGTTTGGTCTTTTTAATCATTCTCACACGTGAAAACAACTCCAAGAAAGGTCTAACCAGCTAAAGCTAGCACATGAGATAAAAGATAAGCATAAAGCCTACATAAGGAAAAAGTAAAACGTATGAGCAAACTTTTCCCCTTTCAGTAGCAGCACCTATTAGACCAGCTCAACAGAATGATCTGTGCATAGGCTCAGTACCTATGAGACCAACGTCGGTCGCTGAAGCTTGGACAACTTCACATTACAATAAAGCCTCTTTTGCTTGCAGTTCTATGGTAAACCCAGCTTAAGCAGGCTGTGAAACTTCACCTTACATCTTCAAGCTACAGCAAAGCTTAAGACACAACACTGCTGTCTACACGACTCCCTCCAGAACCACATCCTAACTCCATCCCCCATTTCAGTTGCAGCCATCACAGATCACCATGACATTTCTCCAGGGAGACCAACATTTTCAAATCGGTCAGCACAGTAGCACTAGCTCCAGTCCCTCTGTGTGTTTTTGCCCTCCTGCAGCCCCCACAAATGACTACAGATACCCCCCAAACATTTTTCAGTTACAAGTTTGGGAAGTAGCTGATGTCTCCAAGTACCGCTTATTTTAAAACATGCTCTTTTACACTCCTAAGAGACAGCACCAGTTTAGAACAGCCATCACACCACACTACCAGGAATTCAAGAAATTGCCTAAGGGTCACTTCAGGGAACAGTCACTAACTTAAGGAGCCACAGCCCACTATCCACTGAAGATGAGTTCCTGAAAAGCGTAACGTTTAGCAGCTTGAAAGATGCTAACTATGCAGGGACAGCATACATGATGTGGAGAACAGAGAGGCAGGGGAAGAATCATCAGGACCATCAACTGGAGCAGGGACTGAGCTTCTGGAAGAGTGAATGAAAACTTCTCTCTTTTGGGAATGCATCCTCATACCCATTCGCCTTTTATTAATTCTCACAGGAAAAAGCAGCTTTACTCTCTGAACTCAGCTGCTTCACCTGCAAGACTTAACATGTAACAAATTATGATCACCCTCACTCTTCTGTTTAAAAGAGGTACGTGTTCTTCAACATCATCTGCCTCATATGAATCAAGTTAATCATGAGTAAAGGATGGAAAAAAGGATACCATTATTACAGTAAGCAAAACACAGTAATGAAACGTCGCAAAGGAACTCCAAAATGAAAGATGGGAAAGTGGTGGACAAGGCACTGAGTCAATTCAGGGCGTCATCAATTTGGCTTTATGAAGGCAATAAGAAGAGGTTTTGACTTCTCGCCAAACCAGGCCATGTCATGCAGAAGCAATGCTTGAGACCCAGCTCCTGTGCACAATTTTACTCTTCCTCTAACAAATACATGACACTCCACAACCAATCTTTGCTATCTCCTTCACCATTTTCTTGATGGATGATAAGAACATATCTAAGTCATTCAATCCATAATTGTCTCAAAGAGGTAACCGGCTTCAAGTTTTTCTGTATCATTCATGTGGCATCCTTTTCCTGCAAATATATTTAGGAATGAAAAAAGCCACATAACTCTACTTCTGGCCATCAGCATTGTCAGACTGGACTAGTTCCCTCATGCTGTGGGTTGTAACATAACAAGAAAGCTTACATTTTCCTTTGTAATTAAATAAATATTTGCTGTCTCAAATTTGTTTATGTGGTAAAAGGAAGTCAGGCAAAACATTTCTTTGACTGTACAGACAAAAATGGTCAACCCAAAAATACCTACAGGATTCCTGTGAAGAAGTCTTATTCTATTCCTTAAATGCAGGTTAATTTCTTGCCATTCAGTGACTGTGTCTACATTAGCTTTTTTTTTTTCCTCCAAATCTAAACCTGCAGTATGGTTTCGAAATTATTGCCCAAATACCTTCACTTAATCTACATCGCTTATATTTGCAAAGTGTTTTTGGCACGTCTCAGAAGAAACTAAAACTGGAACTTGCTGTAGGTGTGCATCAAATCTATGAAAACCAAGGTAGCCCTTGTGACCTAAACCAACAAGCGGGCCAAAATGCTGCAATTTCTCCAGCACAGCCATAGCACAATACATGCCAGGAGGTGGACTATGAACTGTCACTAACACCCTCCACATTATAAAGGCTCATTACATAAAGTGTGGTAGGTATCAGCAAGTTTGCCAGCAACCACCCCTCTACTCTTCGCCCCTTCCCACCACCTGGCCAACTCCTTTCAAACTTTCCATCCTCCATTTCAAGAAAATTCAGAATCACAAAATCATTTAGGTTGGAAGAGATAACTTAAAATCATCTAGTCCGACCTCCTTGCTCAAACAGGGTCAGCTAGAGCAGGCTGTCCAGGACCACGTCCAGTTGGTGTTTGAATCTCTCCACCGATAGAGACTCCACAGTCCCTGGGAACCTTCCTGTGGTACTTGATCACCCTTGTGGTAAAAAAGTTTCTTCTTATGTTCAGATGGAATTTCCTGTGCTTTAATTTCTGTTCATTGCCTCCCATCCTGTCACTGAGCACAACTGAAAAAAGTCTGGCTCCCTCATCTTCATTCTCTCTCATTAGGCATTTATAAACACTGTTGATATCTGTCCTCTCTGCCCACCCAAGCTTTCTCTTCTTCAGGTTGAACAGTCCAGATGGCTTGCTGAATATCCGTAAGGAAATACTCAGCTCTCAGCTTTGTCCTATATGAAAGATGCTTCAGTAAATCTGTGTCCTAAAAGAAGAGACAACTCCTCTCATAGTAAAGTAAGAGGAGGTTCTTAGGAAGCTGCTCACCCCCATCTATCATCATATAACACTTAGAAAGTTCTGTTACTGAAGACCCAATACAAGAACCACACTTGAGAAGCAACACAGCAGGTGCTTTTTACTACAGACCTCTTACCAGAAATCTCAAACATCAACAGTCCTGTGCTCATAGCTAAGGATAAAACGTCAATGACTACTTCTGATACTGAATGTAGCCAACACGTGACTGGATTTGACTGGTTGCCTACCATTACTAGTATGCTGTATTGAGATTTGTGCTCTGTTAGGTTATTGAGACACTAGTCCTAAAACTGCTGTCCCTAGAATAACCCAGCATCACTACACCCGTGCTGAAGGGATCGGCACTTTTTACTAGAGTATCAGGCAGGGCCAAGCCAAGTGTTTCTCTCATCTGATGAAGGAAGCAATTGTGCAGAAAACTGCCCTGGTCAGAAAAAGACTAAAGCAGGTCTCAACCAGAAAAAAGCTGCCAAACATGGTCACCAATCTTCAGCGCAACCAGCAGGCAGAACAGCTTCTGAGGTCATTACACTGCAGGCTCAACATAGCACCAATGAGGAACTGAGAGTTTCTGAAACAAAGGAAAATTACACAAACTAAATGCTCTAAACTAAGGAAACTTATAAATGTGCTAAAGTAATTTCTCTTTAATCTTCGTGGTGATGGAGAAACTATGGAAACAGGCAATGCTTTTCCTTTAAGTAGAGTTAGCTACGATAGTTAGATGTCTTTCTGACTTCAAAGTAAATTGAGATTATTAGTTTATCAGCACAAGCACTGTACCTAGTAAGTTAGAGTGACCAGCTCAGAGAAGAGGTTAACTTCAAATCTAAGTTATTCAATTCCTTCCATCTATTTCTTCCAATCCCTTTACTAAATAAAGCTAGATAAAAATAACCTCAAGTCAAATAAACCTAGCCCACGGTCCAATGCCTACCACTATACGTCACCAAAACTGGGATGTTGTAATATCCTGTATATCAGTCCAAGTCACTCCACATCACAACTTGGAGCTGCAAATGCTGTACCTCTTTCTTTTATCCAGTTGTGATTTACAGTTTTCACACAATATTCATCCTCCTGCTCACTCCCAAACAGCTCAAAATTAATGTAAAAAATTTGTTTCCAAGGAAATTTATAACTTTGATTAGCCATAAGTAATTCACATCATTGTCTTAATTATCACCAACAGTACAATCTGCCTAAAGGTGAGCAGTCATTCCTGTAACAGCTAGTGTGTGTAAAAAAGATCATTCCCTTTAATAGAATCATCTATTTCCTTCAATTTTCTTCCAATTTGAACTGTGGGTGTAGATATAGATAAATAAAGGTGGCAACTACAGAATTTATCAAGCACCGAAAAGGAAGACCTCGTGATGTTTTGAATACACTTCACACACAGTTACCAGCCAGCTAGAATAAGGGAGAAAAGTATCAGAATAATGCATGATTTGCTATCTTACTAGTAAACAAATACAACAATACAAAACACAAATCTACAAAAGCACCAGCCAGCACGAAAAAAACCAGAATGTCACCTGTATTTCGCTATCTTCAGCGAGTCATGAAAAGCAGAAATCAAAGTTTATGACCTTCAAATCTGTTGTCTTTCTGGTGCCTAATTTTTTATCACAACATACTACAATTTATTGGGTAAGCTCTTTGGTTTCAAGCACCCTTTGGCCTCGCTCTTTTGTTAATTACTGCCAGGTAGATTGAATTCTTGTTACTCTGCCAAATGTAATTATTCTAGAACAGCACACTTCATACATGAAATCCCTGTAAATGTCCATAACGTCAAATTTTTTTTTGTTTTAAAGCTCATGCAAGATACCTTTGCTTTTCCCCATTTGTATTTCATTAGGATTTTCCTTTAGAATCTAGCACCAAAGCACTGAGAAGATAAAACATATCTCCATGGTAACACAATCTTGTTAGCATAGTCTGAATGTAAGAAACAGAGGAAAAAACAATTATCAATCCTCAAACTGTACTGATTTCTCTGATGTGTTGTGCTGGTTTTGGCTGGGATAGAGTTAATTTGCTTTCATAGCAGCTGGTATGAAAGCATAGCAGCTATGTCTGCAATTTGTGCTGAAAACAGCGTTGATAACACCGGGACATTTTAGGTATGGCTGAGCAGTGTTTACACAGTGTCAAGGTCTTTTCTGCTCCTCACAGCACCCCACCAGTGAGCACGGGGGTGGGGAGGGGGGTACAAAAAGTTGGGAGGGGACACAGCCAGAACAGCTGACCCCAACTGGTCAAAGGGACATTCCATGCCACATGACTTCACGCTCACTATATAAAGCTGAGGGAAGAAGGAAAGGGGAGGCATTTGGAGTGATGGTGTTTGTCTTCCCAAGTGACCATTACGTGTGACGGAGCCCTGCTTTCCTGGAGATGGCTGAACACCTGCCTGCCGATGGGAAACAGTGAATTAATTCCTTGTTTGGCTTTGCTTGAGTGCATAGCTTTTGCTTTACCTATTAAACTGTCTATATCTCAGCCCATGAGTTTTCTTACTGCTACACTTCTGATCCTCTCCCCTCTTCCACTGGGGGAGAGAGAAAAAGTACTAAAAAAGAGAAAAACAGTTAGGATTAATTAAAATGTGAATTTTAGGTATGACTGAGTAGTATATTGTGGAACTCTCATACTTACTTCAGATATTTTACAAGGTCTGATATTATCCATCATAAAGTTTTATTGCAACTATTTTCTCTCATCAGATTAGTGATGATATCCTGTATTATGCAATTCTGCCACATGTTCAATATCCTACCTGCTGTGCACTTTAGCTGTAGAGTGCCCTCTGAAAGCTGGCCTAAAAGAGGCTCACTTCTTTGGCACTAGGAAGTTGCCCATTAATTTTGAAAAACTGAAAATGAATTGCTGATCCCTAGCACGCTGGTTATTTGGAATCACCCCAGTTCACAGCCAAAAGACATTAACTGTGTTACTATTTTTTATTCACTTTACTCCTTCCCTTGCTACTCCATGCAAAACATATGCACAAACTAAGTTATAAACTCAAACTGGGACAGAGCTAATGTTTTACCTTTGCAGAGGTACACAAACAAAATGCAAAACTATTTTTTTTTTTTTGTTCACAGTTCGCTCTGTGTAATGTCAGCTTTATTCACAAAAGCACAGCTGAGTATCACAAAGGAAGGCCAGCTGCCTTGCCTATCCTCATTGCTGCACACGTCAGGCTAAGGAACCCAGAAAGGAAGGAGGTAAAAAAAAAAACACCTTTTCAGAGAGCAATGAAGCAATCGATTGAAAAATCTGTTAGGCAGCGCAGTGAAAGAAGTAAGTGCCTACAGCATGACCATGAAGATGGATTAGAGAAGTGAGAGAAGAACAAGGTTTGCCTGCAGCAGGGAGCATATTTTCCGAAGTGACAAGATGAGGTTGCTGCCCAAGGGACCTATAAGGGACTAAAAAATTCAATGCAATCCAGAATGTCACTGCCTAGCTGGACAGAGGACTGACAGGAAAGGAACCATGCTGTACAGCAGGCAGGCTTAATTGGTTTTCTTACTCCACCAAATTCATTTATTTGCAGAGCCACCTTACTCTAAGTTTAATAAATCTACTTTAAAGATTAGGAGCTTTTTGTATTTTTTGGCATGCTGGCATTAAGGAATAGACTGGGAATTCACATCTTAAATTTCAGACTAATCTGAAGTCTCACCAAGAGGATATAAAAACATAGGCTTCTAGTGCAAAGTGGTAGTGTAAATAAATCATAAATATGTTGGTGACTGCAAAAATTACTGAAAATTAGCAAATAAACAGATTAAGGTGAATAATGTATTAAATTATGTCTCAGTTGTATATCAGATTTTTTGTTTGCATATTAATAAATTGTCAAGCTTCCTCAACCTATGGCATAGTAAAAATAAAGGATTATGAAATCTGAACTGAAAGGAATTCTTGAAGTATGAAACAAGTGTGTCAAGAAAAGATTTCTTCATTTTACAAGTTCACGAAACAGCCAAACAGCTAAATTCATATTTATTTATTCTACTGCATAAAATTCAGGGATATCTCTGTAGTTATGTCTAAAATTTAGGTTAAGAAATTATAAATATGTTTCAAAACTTGCTATCAGCATACTCAAGGTCATTCACACTGAAATGAATAAAACTGTTTTGGTCTTTTTAAAAGCTAACTAGTACAGTAAATTTTGCCCAAGGTTCAGCACCAGTGTATCACTAGGACTTAAAATCTGCAGGCAAACGTTTATAAAGCAATTAAAAAACTCTAAATAGAAAAATAAGCTCTTAAAAGTCCACCATATATAACCCAGAAAACAACATACCACAGTTACTTTGTTACTTCTGACATAAGATCACAAAAAACATTCTTACATAACCCCAGTAAGGATACTTCTTTCCACAAAAACTGTTAGTTAACTGAGGATCAAAATCAAAAGAACATTACGACAAACACTGATTTCAGACTTCTGTCTCTGGGTTGGATGTCCACTTGAACTTCTTCATCATGTTAAAGTCTGATATTTTGGGCCATTTAACAGACAACTATCAGTCTACAGCTGTGATAGTGTGGTTTATATGATAGCGCAAATCACATTATCTGGACAAGTATCTTACAGTCATTATATGTTCTAGTACATTCCAAACAGATTTTTTCAAAAGTAGTATCAATACTATCTATTATAGCCATAAAAGTCAACCCATGAGACCTCAAACCTCTAAGCAAAAGTTATGAAGGGGGCATCTGCTCTAAACACCCCTTCAGTTCCTTTGCCAGAAGCAATCCAAATGTTGCTAGACTCTGCACTAGCAGGGCAGAAGCATATGCCAGAGAACATATAATTGGACTAGAAGAATCATGCTGTAGGGTCACTACAGAAAAATTATTTCCTTTTCTTCATTCACCTGTCTTTCCACATTTCACTAAAGACAGCTTCACAAGTCATTTAGATCAGAAAAGCCTAAAAGGCCTGCATATTAGCTACTCCTTCCTATTTGATATAACAACTTACAGTAACATCAGACAGATGCTACAAGCCTTCACCCCTTGCAGGCTGCCACTTAACCACGAAGTGATTGCTATTGTGTGGCTCCACAGCATTCACATTTATTTGAAGCACTTAATCACTACATTTGAAGTGGTCATCAAGACAGCTAGTATTACCTTTCATGGACAAATATGTTTAAACCAAAGTACACAATGCCACATATCCTAATTTATGTTTTCTAAGAGTGAAGCTTCACAAATATGAGACCAAACACAGCAATGTGGAATGTCTTGGCTCAAGGGCTGTAACTGAAATGTAACTAATGTATTAGACTTCTGTTAAACTAACACACGGAAGAGATAAGCTGTTATTCACAAGGGAAATTTGTTGTATAGTGAAACTATATTTTTACATTAATTCTTTGGATCCAGTATTTGCAGGTAGAGAGACAATGAATACCCCACGAACAACAATTTTTTAGAGCTTAATTCATAACAAGGCACTAGTTTCCAAACCTCATTGAGCGTGCAAATAGGCTAGAAATTAAGTACGGTGGAAAAGATGACAGGACTTTGAATCACTTCAGATATACACTTAGTTATTACAATGGACAACACCAATTTTTTGCCCCATTTCATAATTTCCACTGAATACCAGATTTAGCAATGAAAAGAATGGGCGAGGTTTAAACTTTCTTTCAGTATTTTTGACAAAGGAAGAGTAAGGAGAAGGAACAGCTATTTCAAGGAGTCATGGGTGCAATACAGTAAGGAGTATTAAAAAAGCTCGCTCTTGGAAATTATGGACTGATTCTAATTATATGGGAGGCAACAGTATGCTTTTACTAACTTACAAGACTAACTTACAAATTCTTATCTCTAAGATCCATATTAGAATATTTACTTAACATTAGTAGAAGAAGAAAATAAAACATCATTTGACAAGAAACACACATTATAAACAATTCAAGGCAGAAACCAGACTTCAGTTCAAGACAACTCATGCTGAGTTGCAAGTAAAACAACACATATAGTGTTAGTTTTACACTAATTTTTCAATCCACTTTTTTTTTTTAACTTACCAACTCTGTACTAGCCCAACTGAAGGCCTGTTAAGTAAATTATCAGGCAACAAATTGACTTCTCTCATGGTGTTGGCTAGTCGCACAGGAAGTTCTTTCCGCAGAAACATGTATGAAGTCTTCTCGCATGCATTGTCCCGACCTGTTAGAAGGGAGGAAAAAAAGAGATGTCCATTGCAGCACATCAAATTTAAGATTTGCCAATGCTAGAAGATTAAAAAAATATATATATTTTATTTAAAAATAAAAAACTTGTGGAAATAAAAAAAAATTAAAATAATTTCTTTCAGCACCCACTTTCACTTCCCTTTTACTCCCAAGACACATATTATGCATTTACCTTCCTAGAGCTTAAATTCTTTTATTTGACATTCTTCCTGATTTTACATCATCTCATTATCTCTCCTATAAATAAAAATCCTATAAACAAAATCTCTCATCCTATACATAAAAATCACCAAATAGCAAAGATTTGATATTAGCTGGAAATAAAGCCCAAAAATACTAGGTTTTATCAGTATGACTTTTCTACTAAAGTGAGTTTTTAAAAAGTGCATGCCACACACATAATGGAGGGTAAGAAGTGAAAACAAAGGGACAACCCAGAATGGCAACAGCTGACCAACATTTCATGTCACAAGCTCTTCAAACCTACTACGTACTTAAATGTTTCAGCAGCACCTGGAAAGACCAGCAAAAGTCACCATCCCTCCTAGAACTAGGCTAAAGATGCTCACTGGCTACCTGGAAGGAAAGTGCAGTGCTCGTCACCACATTCCAATTTGGAAAAGCTGTAGCTGAGATTATCTTGGACTTTCACTTTTAAAACAGACTTTTATCCAGCACAATATTTTTAAACTAAAATTTTTTAAAACTCCAAATGGTTAGAAAGCAAATAAAAGGGATTCAGCAAAATAGCAATACTTTGCTGTGGACCTAGTTGGAACAGTGACCATTCCCTGGAGCCACCCTACACGAACAAGACGACTGACATAACTAATAGTATTCTAAGCTAAAGCCGTTACCAGAGATACCTATAAAACTTCAAATATCTGAAAGTATGACTCTTGCCCAAACAGTTCAAAGGAAGATCAGACCTGACTTGAGACACTTTTTTGTATTTTGCAGTGTTTCATAAGTGGGGGAATTCCCCACCACAATCAATTTCTAAGGAGTCCAGATAAATTAAAAGAAATAATTAATGTTTTACTTGTAACAAACAGACGGTATTCTGCTTTTGTCCAGAAAGATATCAAATGCCTTTTGTGATGATAACCAGTACATGTAAAAATTTGTGAGTGAAGGCTTAATACAAGAGCTATAAATTATGTTCAAGCAAATCAGAAAGTGTTAAAAGCACTACTAGGCACATAATCATTGAGATTTGCAATTTGAAAGACTCAAGTACAGTGCAACCAGCACAATCAAGGTGATACTTCTTAAGACAGTCCCATTATAATCAGCTGAACAGCAGTTTTCACCTTTTTTGCATAGGTAACATGCATTGATGGATTCGTTCCCAAACCATAACACGAGCTTGGGGAAATATGCAGGAAGGATTAGGGTTTCCTTCCCCCTCCCCCCCCCCCCCCCCCCCCCCCCCCCCCCCCCCCCCCCCCCCCCCCCCCCCCCCCCCCCCCCCCCCCCCCCCCCCCCCCCCCCCCCCCCCCCCCCCCCCCCCCCCCCCCCCCCCCCCCCCCCCCCCCCCCCCCCCCCCCCCCCCCCCCCCCCCCCCCCCCCCCCCCCCCCCCCCCCCCCCCCCCCCCCCCCTCCCCCCCCGCTCATTTAGGCATCATCAATCAGTGAATCATTAAATTATGTTAGCGTCAGCAATACTATTATTGTTCCTCTAGCAAACATTTGCACCTATTTTACTTATTTGCATTTTCACATCTTCAATTACAAATACACACATCCTGTCAAGATTAGAGCAGGAAACAAGACATTACACTGTTGTTTTCTGTGAAGCACAGTAATGATTTCAGAGTTCAATCCTTCAATTAAGTTAGATCATCTACAATAGAAGATAGATACTTGCTTATTCACAAGTCATTGTTTATAGTAGGTCTTTAGGAAGACTGTGGCTGGAGAGCAGGGAAGACTCTCTGGCCAGCTAACTCTACACCTTCTGGGCTGGAAAAACTGAGAGGAACAAAGAGACAACTGTTTCCTCCCAAGAGTGACTCAGAGCAAATCAGTTATTTTCTAGGCAATAAAAAGCAAAACGAATGAAAGACAGCCCAGACAGAGAATGAGGAAATGGTGAACAAGAACCCACGGGCTGTGAAAGGGCACGGGGTACATTCACGGACACAGTCCCTGGGTTTGTGCAAGGCAGACAAAAGCCTGCTAGACTGGAAAGCAGGACTGGCAGAAGAGACACGCTCCCCCTCCTCCCATGAGCAAGGGCACATCTCCATTCAATCTGTCTCACCTCAACAGTTCTAAACTCTCTTGTTAAGGAGTTGTCTTGCTCTAATGTACAGCTACGTTTTAGGTACACGGCTCTTTGGGGACCCCTTGAATGCTTGGTGCAGGAAAAGGAAAGGAAGTCCCCCTAACAGATGTTCCTTGGCTGCAACACCTGTACAACTAGATTCGTCAAAATGAGGGACATGCTTCTAAGTACAAAAAATAAAACCTAAGTTAGGCATTTTCTTAATATAAATTCATCATACACAAGTAAGTCTAAGCTCTAAATATCTTTCCAGAAACAGCGTTCTGGTAAGCTGTAGTGCCGATTTTGCAGGTTTAGCCTACAGTCAGATATAATTTCACTGCATATTTTAGCTAGGCCTGAACTTATTAATTGAAAAAGTAAAAATGACAGAAAACCCCACACTTTTGCAGGTATACAAATCATAGAATGGTCCAGGCTGGAAGGGACCTCCAAAGGTCATCTAGTCCGGCGTGCCCGAGGTCAGCAGGGACACCCCAAGGTTGCCCGGGGCCTGGTCGAGCCTCACCTTGAGTATCTCCAGGGAAGAGGCCTCAACCACCTCCCTGGGCACCCTGTTCCAGTGCTCCACCACCCTCACAGTAAAGAACTTTTGCTTAATATCCAATCTAAGCCTGCCCTTTCCCAACTTAAAGCCATTGCCCCTCATCCTGTTTACAGAACAGGATGTAAACAGAATCTCCCCAGCCTTCCTGTAGGCCCCCCTCAGGTACTGGAAGGCTGCTATTAGGTCTCCCCAGAGCCTAATAAGAATCCATCAGGAATAGTTGTTCTCGTGTCAAACTGTTGAGCTGTTAAAGATTTTAGTTTTGGAGATACATAAGCTGCATGCTTAAGTGCATCAGAAATGCAATTATTTCAGTTTTTCACGTGTTCTGTGACAGAGTTCCACTGAGGAATTAAGTAGTATTATGTTTTGTTAATACCCTTGTGAAGAATGAAGGACAGATACATTACAGACATTGCAAATCCATCTCTTTATCAAGTATGCAAGTAATCACTAGAATTAATTATACTTCATTAAAACTCCTTCTGCTCAACTTGATAATCAATGTTTCATGCAGGCAGAACAGCCAAAAAAGGACATTCTAGTGGACAGCATCAGTTTTATTTTATGCATATACATTTATATACCTAAAAATACACAGAGCAAACAGATCTCTCTATTTTCCGGATAATGCAGATCACACACACAAAACTGAAATGCTTTAAAAAGTGTGCTTTTACAAAACTGAAAATGGAAATACTAGACAACTCTACTCAAAATGAAACACAAGTCAAGAAAGAAAGTGAGACATCACATGATATATGGGGTTCATACCTATCTCTTTTACTAGTGAAGTTAAGGCCTAAAATTACATTAAGCTAGCTGATTCAGTCTCTGAACTAGAGACTAGACCGAACACTGCCTAACATTCTTTGCAGCCTTAATTCTCTCATGATCCAAAAGAAGGTGGTCACCACACCTGCAAAAAGAGGGCAGTGCAATTTCACACAGGAAGAGAAACAAGCAAAAAGTGAGAACTCTGAAGCAAGGAGTTAGTAAAAATGCAGCACAGACTGTGTAAATTAAATTATACAATAGAAGTTACTTTCACAGGAAAATGGTGATAAAAGCAAAATAGTTGTGAAGAAAGTAATCCCGAAATTACTTCAAATGATTATTACTACATGCATACCTAGCACAAAACCTGAAAAAAATGCCAGTGTCACCACAGTAGTTCTTTAAAAAGTCTTTTATTAAAAAAAAGGTTGTTCAAAAAATGCTCTAGCTTCTTCAATATTCTGAACAATCTTACCTGTCTGGGCTAATCAGTCACCCTACACAAAAGTCACATAAAAAAGGAACATTCATGACCTCCCCTCCACCACCTTCAAATCTGCAGGTCAAACCCAGCACCGAAGAGAAACTGTGATGCTGAATCTTGAGATTCTTTCGTTTAAGTACAAGTCAATGAAACAGACAATGTGTCTAACAATAGACACAGCCTTCAACATAGTGAAAATAAGAAGAGAACATCAGCTGAACAAGGATCTAAGCAGGAATCCCTGGTCTTTATATCAAACTAAGGTCAGTGAAGAAAATTCCCTGGACAGCCTCCATGTAACAGCTTTACACGTGATAGAAACAAGCCAGGGTTTGTAACAATACAGGGGGATGGTACCTCCACAAACATTGCTGCATTTGGAATGGTCACCATCCATGAGACAGAGAGAATCTCTAAATGATAGTGGATTTGCTTATGCAGTGAAGTATGACACACCTGAAGAACTGATTTGACTGTCCTTGCTCAAGTTTAAATCAAAAATATAGGTAAACTTATTTAAATAAAACACTAAGACATTAAGATTTCATAAGAAAATCAGCCAGAAGGTGGCATTTGATATTAAAATCAACTTTCTTAGATGGTGGATGATTTCTAATACAAGAAATTTCCACCAAAAATAAATGATGCCATTTATTCAATTCAACAGGTATCAGATGGGAAAAAAAAGGGTAAGAAAATGCATAAATAAAACATGATCCAGAAGCTTCGAGGTCAAAAAAGCAGGCTTGAACAAAATTAGGTCTTCTAAATATACCATCAGATGGAAAAAGATTACAAGTGGAATGTTTGGGGGCTAAACACCAATATTACAACTGGTTGACGTTCAATCCAAAGAAAATTCAAGGAACAGAGTTCTACTTCCACTC